TCCATTAAGGACCTTAATGGTCAGGCAAAAGTTGAGTTACTGTACTACTTAAAACTACAAGTGCTAGGAGTCTCAAATTTTGCGTGGGGGTTCCTTTTAGAACGTAGGTGCTCACTAAGAAAGGATTTTACGAAACTTCACCCCTAAGGGGGTAAAACGGGATCCACGCGTACGAAGTCGTGGGCGGCCGCTAGTATGTATTATTAATATAAACAGAGGGTATTTTGTAAGTTTGTTTATATGTAGAGGCTATAAATCACTGAACCTATATTTAAGACGTGATCATCAGGTAAATATTATGGTATCTTCTTATGTACAAACGACAGCACATCAGGCTTTACATTTTTATTGCGAAATGGCTCCTGTTATTACTAAACTAGCATTTGCCCGCGGCTTCAACCGCGTGAAATTGACATTGTCACAGATCGTCATAAATTATAGTCTATATGTTATTCTGGGTAATAAACAACATATTAAGTAGGAATAAGAAGCAACAGAGCTTAGCTTGACAAGCCGCTCTCTGTACTTATATAATAAGTACTACATTGCGGCGAAAATGTGTATAGGTATTGATGTACTATGGAGTGTACAACATTAATAAAGATTAACAATTTGTATAACCTATGACACTCAGCAATAATGTGCCTTTCTATATTGGTGAAAGAATTTTTAAAATCGGTTCAGTAGATCCCGAGATTACCCCTTACAATTTAACAAATAAACAAACACACAAAACCTCTTTATTGTATTAGTATAGACTAGCTTTCCGCCCGCGTGGAATTTTGTCTGTGACAGAGAAACTTTGTCGCGCGCGTTCCTGTTTCAAAAACCGGGATAAAAACTATCCTATGTCCTTTCCCGGACTCAAACTATCTCTATGCCAAATTTAATTAAAATCGGTTCAGTAGTAAAAGCGACACAGACAGACAAGAGTTACTTTCGCATTTATAATATTAGTATAGATTGAAGTTTTATTAAGTGCTAAAATTCACGTAGACAGAGCCGTGGACATAAACTAGGTTTTGAAAAGATGAATAAATATTAAAAGGCTTACGAACCAATGACCTTATTATACATAATACAACTACAAACTAACATGCACTAACGAAACTTAAATAATCGATAATATTGATAACTCGAGATCAATGGCAATTATTCGTTGCAGTTCAATCTTAATTTTTTATCAAATGCTGTATTTATTTATTTACTTATTTATTTATTTATTGATAAAGGTACACCAACAGCAATACACATTTAAGACATATAATATGCTGTAGTTAACTTTGCAATTTTCTAAAAATATTTTTTACTTATTTTAAACCTAGCTTTTGCCCGCAGCTTCACCTGCGTGAAATTAGCGTGTGTTTCGTCCCAGTGGGACGAACGTCTTGTGGGACGAATCACTGAACTAGCCGTCACAGATCGTCATATATTATAGCCTATCTATGAATATGTATATTATTATGTTTTAATTTTCACACTATGCTGGTATTTCTAAAGTGATCCCATTTAATTTGTCAGGAACTAATAAAGTCATTTTAATAATCATTTATGCCCTTATTCACAAACATTGCTATTAGGTCTCACAGTGCGCGTAGACGCACAGGGTGACACACGAACTCTATTCAACGCTGTGCATTCGATTTGCACCTTAACTTAAGCAAGTATCGTTTGTGAATAAGGCCGTTATTTTTGCAAGTATGCCTTTACATGTCCCGTATTTAAAACCCTCATTCCAATTCAAACTATTTTCATGCGTACGAAGGCGCAGGCACAGCTAGTATAGTAAATAAATACGCGTAATTCAAGCCACTCCTAAATTTGTTCAAACTTCAAAGTTACTACGAGGACTCCCACCGACCTCGTTTGAGTCGCATAATATGACATTCTTGCACATATTTATATGTTACCCAACACATTATTGGTTTAGCATATACAATCTACTTGGGCACTTGTATAAGATCAAGATGGTGACCTGCTTTTGGGTCTTGAGATACAAAAATATGATACGGGACTATCACCACCTCTCGTTCCCACCGCTGCAACTCCTGTGTAGCCAGGATCTACAGCTTGACCGCCAATAACCCAACCAGTGAAGGGCAAGTTTGTCCCGGGGGAAAGTTAAACTGTCATTGGACCCGCAACAAAATTAAATCAGAAGAATATAGGAGTTCGAAGTTGAGAAGTAAGTGTTATGTAGTTAACACAATAAATACACGTGTGGCAATAATAAAAATCAATAATTAAAAGATACAAATCTATTGACATACTGGTTTACCTCAATTAGACTGAAGTAGTGAACGAAACTCAAGTTCAATTAAAAGTAAAGTCACTCTACATTAATTACGGACAAAAAAAGTAAAATAACTTTAAATTAGTGACGGATAAAGGACTTTTTTTATCCTAAAACAGGTTATGTTATCCCAGGATAAAAATATATCCTATTTTGTAATGTGATTTCTCCAAAGATAGACATTAATATTAATTAATTAAACTTATTTATGACCATGTTACAAGGTGTGATCAAATGTTACTAAAAAGAAGGTAAATTATTATTCTGTACTTTGTAGGTAAAATTATCCTGAAATAAACACAAGTCGCAAGTTGCATAATTAATATCAAGAATTAAAATAACAGAATGTAATGTGCAAAACTGCCTGCATAGCGTTTTACTTTGACCGAATTTACACATAATGTGCGCATGCACATGTTGTGATGTAACTTGTGAGTTAGCAAACCTAGTTATTAGATATAGCTGTCCCCGCGACTTCGTACGCGTGAAAATAGTTTGAATTTTTCCCTTTTCGCAATATTTTTCTTTACTACTCCTCCCCTTTACCTTTTCTTAGACCTTCACTGGTTGGGTAATTGGCGGTCAAGCTATAGATCCTGGCTACACAGGAGTTGCAGCGGTGGGGACGAGAGGTGGGAATAGACCCATTACTCCGTCCCTATTGGCTGTAGTAGGGTGATGTTAAATAGCTTAGCCTTCGTCGTTATGTGGGCTATCCAACACAAAAATATTTTTTCAAATCGGACCAGTTGTTCCTGAGTTTAGCGCGTTCAAACAAACAAACTCTTCAGCTTTATAATATTGAGTAAGTATAGATTCTTTAGTTTTCAACAGTTTTATGATTCTAGTATTTGAATCTTTTATACTTATAATTTATTTAGCATTATAGTTCATTTAGTCAGAAAAGCGTTTAAAAACCGGGATAAAAACTATCCCGCCTTTTTACTTGAGACTCAAGATAATAAGTCTATGTATGTATAAGTACCAAATTATTTTGTGGATGGCTAAGTTTTGAATCCACATTTATACTGGCTTCGTTCACGATAAATTTCAGTCTTTAATAGAAAAACTATGCGCGTGTTTCCGTTCAAATATCCGGGATAAAATCTATTCCGTTTTTCCGTGGTTTCAAACTAAGTATATCTACAACAAATGTGATCTAAATCGGTTCAGTGGTTTAAACTTAAAAAGATAACAGACATAACTAGTTTGATGAGACACAGATAAAAATTATAGGATAGTTTTTATCCCGGTTTTAGATGCGCGATAGTTTTTCTGTGAAATAGACCGAAATTCAGGAAAATCTCGTTAATTTAACTTAACTGGAGGAATAACCAGTAATATTAGCAATTTGTAATCTTCTAAACAAGTGCACTGGAGGGTTAACTTCGAACTTCTCCTGTGTTCTTCTGATTAATTTCGTTGCGGGTCCAATGACAGTTAACTTCCCCCGGGACAAACTTGACCTCCACTGGTTGGGTTATTGGCGGTCAAGCTGTAGATCCTGGCTACACAGGAGTTGCAGCGATGGGAACGACAGGTGGGAATAGTCTTTTAAACAAGTCTTAATTGATCTGAAAATTCATATTTTAAAGCTTAAGAAAATAATTTAAGAGTGCTAAGGAATAGTTTAGAATTTAAGAACATGATATTTTATAACAAACCAAAAAAAAACATTCATTTAATTCACGCGAGCGAAGTTGTACGCTGAAGTTAATAAAAATTAATAATACAACTCTACTTCTAGTGTTTTACAGATATAGGATTTAATAGACCTAGATTCGATTCCCGAAAGATTATGACAATAAAATACTGTATGATAATACCTATTTGATTTTATTTCATTTATTGCACGTAAAACTATACAAATGACGGGCTAAAACCCTATAGGTATTCACTATCAGTCAGACATAGGTAGAGAAAGAGATTAATTTTTATTTATTTATTTATTTTAATAAATTCTTTAAAAATTTCTGCTTGAAATTAAAAAGTCCTGAAAATCTTCATGAAAAATCTAATAAGCATTGTGTATTTATAACAAAACGATTATTAACCGACTTCAAAGAAGAAGGAGGTTCTTATATTGATTAAATTCCTAAAAGTAAAAACCAGAAACGTGTTTACCAAAGCAACAAACAAACTTCCCAAAAAGTAGCGCAATATCGTTTTACATTTTAATATTTTTAAATATTTTACCGCACTCGAAGTACTACGGGCAAAATTTTTACTCAACTTCAATAATTTTACTTACATTATTTATTGTAATTTATGCCTGTTTGAACAAGACATCTCAATTTTCAGACGTTACATGATTTAAATATGAATTTTTAATTTTAACACGGAAATGTCAGTTCAGTTTTACAAAATTTATTCAAAATTGTAAAACTTTTTCTCAATTTCTTTTGAGCAATTGATTTATTAAATTATAGATGAAACTGTAATATTTATAATCTGTGATTTAAAAGAGGTTTTATTCTGTCTTAATTAAAAAGATCAAAAGAATTTGAATGATTGCAACAACGAAATGTTCTAAATTCAAATGTTTAAAAAAATTAGGCGAGCCAACGAAACGAAGACTCGCAGCCTCCGCATCATAAGATCACTTTCGGTGTCCCACTGCCCTAAATCCCCCACCTGTTCGCTAGTGAAAGCAATATTAGCAAAAACCAATATAATGACATAATACCCACAATACTTCATAACTTACCTTTGAGAAAATCCTTTTTGGCACAAAAACTCCAAGGCACACACTAACACATTGGCACTCGGGGGAAAATTTAAAAAGTTACACTTGACACCTGTCAAAAAGCGCGCGAATCAAGAAAAATGGCCGGTTTCGGCGGCTAAGGCGTACACTCTTGGCGGGCGGTTGAGCCCGACTGCTATAATGGTAGGAACATTCACAACGAATGACTGGCTAGCTCGATTAATCATACTTGTGAGATAAAATTTGTTTTAACACTTATTTATAGGTAGTCATGGGGAAACCTAGGGCTTCCAAGGTTTTCAGCTAAAGGTACCAGCGTACGTCATTGCGTAATTTTTTTTCCATCGGTTTCGTTATTGTTTACGGACTAAAGAAGGCTTTTAGAAAGGAGGTAAAACCAACATTAAAAAAGAATGAGTTTAAAAATATGATTAAAATCAAAATAGCATTAAAAATTAAACTACCAAATAAAATATCTTACTTTACAACGAAATTAAACGTAAATAATATTTACATTAACAATAATTCGTTTACAATGTCCCATAAAAATGGTTAAGAATATCGTAAAATACATTAAAATATAATAAATAGGTGTTTTCTTGTTGTATTTATTATTTCGACTCGAGTAACTTAATAACTTAGATATTTTAAAACGTACGTATACATTTACATGCTCTTGCGCTATTTTTAGTCTCTACTTGCATTTTCCGGTCATTTTACACTGTCATTCAGTCATTGACATACTTTTTACACTACAAATGTGACTCTACATTAGAAATACCTACCTATTACGAGTACCTACTTCTTAGGCCCAGTTTCCATTGAGGCGGAGAGAAGCGGAACAGAGCGGAGACGTGTTTTCAATCAGAATAACCGATCAGACTTTTATTTCCACATCTCCAATCCGTTCTACGCGCTTATTCCCAACGTGTCACACCAGAACGAGTAACCGAGTTACCTACTAGTTGGGAAAAAAATTCCCATCCAGTCTTACTGTAATTTTTAGAATACTTCATTATTTCAAATCAAATCAAATTTATTTATTTGCGTATATCCAGGTATACAGGGTGTTAGGTAAATGGGTATTTGAGCCGACACTAGCCCATGTTAACATGGGCATATAAATGGTATAGTGAAGTCAGAAATTTGATATCATCAATTTAATTTTTTTAATTTTCATACAAAATAAATGTTATAAAATCCGATTTGTATGAAAATTAAAATAATTAAAATGAAGATATAAATTTTATGACTTCACCATACCATTTATATGCCCATGTTAACATGGGTTAGTGTCGGCTCATATACCCATTTAGCTAACACCCTGTATAAGTGGTCTTACATAGATTTGGTAGGTTTCACTGTTTGCTCGAACTAAGAAGCGTGCAAATATTAAAAAAGAGTAGATTTTGATTTTTTATGATTAGTCCGCCCGACACATCTTCCCTTTTCTCCGCTGCGCCTTGGTGTAAATCGGGCCTTAGGTAGGTATTAGTAATTTTAATGGAAAGGAGCTTTAAGGCGAAAGATTTATTACTTGAGTCTATGATTTTAAACTGTCTAGCTCAGTGGTTCCCAAAGTTGTCTGGGCTATGACTCATCTAATACAAGTTCCCAAACTCGGGACCCATCTATAGGAATTTTCGCCCGCTGCCCAGCGGTTGGATCGGTGGGGTGGTGTGTCGTTCTACAGGCAGGGCCCACTCAATGTTCGCTCGCGACCCACCACTGGGTCGCGACCCATAGTTTGGGAAACCCTGGTCTAGCTTACAAATTAAACATGTTAATTTTTTTTTATCCACAACGAGGAAGCTCTTAAAATATTAAAATATTGTCAGAAGAGGCTGACAATTGTGACAGAGTTTTTTGTGCTATTTCATCACAGCACTGCACTTTATAGTGCCGAAGCAGTGGCAGGGTTAACATTGGGAAGCGTTTACAAGGTGGATCGACGACCTCATAAAGTTAGCAGGCGCTACCAACCGGCCAATCTGTAAATCATTGGGGGAGGCTTAGTTCAGCAGTCGACGTCAATTGGGTGAAACAAACGAAAAACGATGTGTCTATCATGAATGACAGTCATGCTACTTGTGCTCATTATTAAAGACCCCAGCGAGAACAGAACCTGTAATTAGGTGAAGCTACCGATCCAAACCGAAGTACCTACTTCGCAAAATCTAATTTTAGTAGTAAACTTTGAACTTACAGACTCTGCAATTTATTTAACTACTAGTTGTTCTGCTTGGTATGCGTGGAAGTTGTCCAGTGGATTAAGACCTGTAACTTGTATGGGACTGCATGAAATGGGGAGGTCAAGCTACATCTCAAGCTCTACCTAATCGAAGTAACATGACGTACCTAGTACACTAATTTTATTCACTATTCTTCCACAAATGTTTGAGTGTTATCGGTACACGCTAAATCATCTATGAGTGCACACTGCACACGCACACTACAATAATGACGCTCGAATTGCTCGGATCAAAATCCCCGCACCCCGCGCGACCGAGACCAAAAATTGGTGGGGCGCGTCTTTGTGGATGAAACAATGAGCAAGCAATATAAAATAAGACGAAGACGCGCTAAAAATTAAATAAATGCTACTCCAATCTATGAATTCATCTTGTCAGCTACTGTTTAACATCCCTCGGGACAAACTTGACCTTCATTGACCTTCACTGGTTGGGTTTTTATTGGCGGTCAAGCTGTAGATCCTGGCTACACAGGAGTTGCAGCGGTGGGAACGAGAGGTGGGAATAGTCCCATTCTCTCGTATCTAGAGGTAAAACCGCGTGACATTCTAGTACAAAACTACGGTAACTCGTGTAAACGCAATCTCAGGCAGCTCAAGAATCTTGTTTTGATGTCATTGCATGATTACAATTAGCCGTAATGTTGTGCACTGCTCACCAAGTGGGACAGTTTACGGGACATTATTTCAACGATATGAGGTTGCGAAGTTTGTGTCCCATGATTTGGGTCCTCCTAATAATAAACCCCATAAACGAAAAAGTCTAGAGAGTTGCAGTGGTGGGAACGAGAGGTAGTCCTGTACTGTACTGTAAACGAGTTGATTAAGTAGGTACATAACTGTAAAATAAGATCAAATCACTGATTTTTTCTTTTACATACAAAAGAAAGAAAAACGAGAGAACCAAATCACTTAAGAATTACCTGTTTAGACTTTAATAACGCCAGTTCGTGATTGTGTAACCAACCACAAGTAATTTCATAAAGTACGTGGTGTAGTTAATGCGGTTTTTAACCATCAATTATACTCTGAAAGCTTCTGGAGAGATATTTATGATCCAGTGATACTTATGATCCTCGTACTTATCATAGTGATGATCCAGTGCGTTTTGTCTCCTGTCATCCACTTTGCACTGGAGGGAAATCGATCCTCAACTTCGAACTCCTACTATGTTCTTCTTATAAAGTTCGTTGCGAGTCCAATGACAGTTTAACTTTCCTCCGGGATAAATTTGCCCTTCACTGGTTGTGTTTTTATTGGCGGTGAAGCTGTAAATCCTGGCTACATAGGAGTTGCAGTGGTGGGAACGAGAGGTGGTACGTCCCGTACCGCCCATAGAGTTCACGGGACGTCCCACTTCAACCATAACGACAACAACGTCCCTAGTCACGTGTACCTAATCGTTAGTATTTAATTTTATTACTCAGTAACGTTAAGATCAAGACACAAGTAATTATTGTCCGAGTATTATGTTAAATTAAATAATTGCATGGACTAGGGCTTTTCCAAAAGCAGTTTTTTTTATGCAAGGCAGGTATTTGACCACAACCGCACCTGATGTTAAGTGGGATGCAGTCTGGGATGGTACATATCTGCCCTGTAAGTGCCTATTCACTCTCGCCTTGAAAAAGCCCGGATTATAGTCTTCGGGAAAGACAGCAGCAGGCAACGAATTCCAGTCCCTAGCTGTTCGCATTATAAAAGAGTCATCGAAACGCTTGGTACGAGATGGTGGAATGTCAACAATATAGGGATGGTACGCTGACCTGCGTCTGGTTCCCCGATGATGGAAGGGGGCTGGTGGAATTAGTTCGTGTAATTCGTTCGCACATTCTCCGAAGTGTAGCCTGTAGAAAACCGATAGGGATGCAACCTCACGGCGATGGTCAAGTTCCTGGAGCGCCGCTTCAACAAGGGTGGGGCTGTCGATAAGTCTTCTGGCACGCCTTTCCACCGAATCCAAAGCAGCCAAATGTGTTAACCGTATGACTTTTTAACACGCTATTTTTATTGTGATTAACAATCGTATTGTTCCGATAACTCATCAGGTCATTTACTCCAGTATTCACAAAACTATGAGGTCTTACAGTGCGCGTGGACGCACAGGGTCACGCACGAACCAATCACAGAGCTCTATTCAACGTGCGTTCGATTTGCTGCTTCACTTAAGCAAGCAATTTTGTGAATAGGACGTCAGTCTCCATTGCAGGAGCACGACCCCCTACCGGAGGCAAATGGATTTGTCCTGCACTCAACAAGCTGGGCAGATGGGTTGGGGAGGCCTACTATCTAATAAAACTCAAAGGTGACTGACTGACTGACTGACATAGTGATCTATCAACGCACAGCCCAAACCACTGGACGGATCAGGCTGAAATTTGGCATGTAGGTAGATGTTACGACGTAGGCATCCGCTAAGAAAGGATTTTACGAAACTCCACCCTTAAGGGGGTAAAACGGGATCCACGCGTACGAAGTCGCGGGCCGCCCGCGACTTCGTACTAGTTCTGCTTATAAAATTCACCCCAATTTTGGAAAATCCTTTCCTATTTCAGCACAACCCGTTCAGAGGTTTCAGTAACGGCCAAGTTCCATACAAATTGGAAAAACTTCTGTTTTATAGAGACTAAACTTTCACGATTTCATCTTTTTAACTGCAAATCAATTTCTGTTAATAGGTTAGCAGTTAAGCATGTTACAGACGCCGCAAATTTTATTGTGTACCTTATTTCAATGAGGCAAAGTTTAATATTTCGTGGTGTATTCGCCATATAATAAGTGGATGACTAGCATGTGATATAATAGGCGATATTTCCTGTCGCCATCGCCCCGTAAACTATACCGTTGATAGCACATCAAGTCGTACATTTGAGTCGGAACATCGACCATATTATCTGCATTTGAAGACCACACGGGAAAAACAATGAATGTCACCTTTTTTGTGAAACTTACTTTTTAATGCCATCTGTTAGCTTTTTAGGGAAACATTCTATTTCAAAAATCAGAATTGGGTAAAATCAGTAAAATCGTCCTGGTCAACTGTAATAGTTCTAGTTCATCAACTGTAACTAGTTGGTAATTTGTGTTTGTTTTTCCATGGCAAGAAACGGTTATATTATGGACCATAACTTAAAACTTATTTAAACAAATCGAGTTTTAGAAGTACAGGCAAAGCATATGTTAACACAGTAATATAAGTTGTTTCAATATCTCACATAAAAGAGTCTAAAATGAAAGAAATATAGATTTTCAAACTACCTTTAAAACTGTTTTTCTCTTGTAGTTTTTTGACATTCTTTGTTTTTCCCGTGTGGTCTTCATTTATGATGCCAGAGTTTGGCTTGATAGACGTCTCTACAAGTGGCCATGATGAGTTGTTTCTTACTAGCGTTGGCCCGTGTTTTGCCTGCTTATCGTTTCAGCCAAATGACGTCCACTGCTGGACAAAGGCCTCCCCCAAGCATTTCCACAATGACTGGTCCTGCGCTGCCCGCATCCAGGCACCTCCCGCGACCTTCACCAGATTGTCGGTCCAAATGGGGCTGCCCACTCTACGTCTTCCAACACATGATCGCCATTCGAGAACTTTTCTGCCCCAGCGCCAGCTTGTATTAAGTTAATAGATAAATAAATAAGTACAAACTTCAGTCCAGGGCCCAGTAGAGGATCTTAGTCATCATCATCAGGTCATTTAGTCTCCACTGCATGAGCACAACTCTCTAATTTACCAGAGGCAAATGGAGGATATATCCTACACTCCACTAGGTGGACTGACGATCTGGTGAAGGTCGTGGGAAGTGTCTGGATGCGGGCAGTGCAGGACCGGTCGATGTGGAAATCCTTGGAGGCCTTTGCCCAGCAGTGGACGACATTTGGCTGCAAAACTACTTAAGTAGCATCACTGGTTGGGCTATTGGCGGTCAAGCTGTAGATCCTGGCTACACAGGAGTTGCAGCGGTGGGAAAGAGAGGTGGGAATAGTCCCGTAGCTTCAATTAATTATACTACGTCATTCATAATTTGAAAGAGCAATGATAAATGTGACACTACCTTGTCTCTACATGACAATTTACTTAGTGACACCGATTAGCAAAGACTAAACCACATCCTGACTTGTAAGTAACATTGTAATTTCTTTGAATTGTGGTTCAAGAGTTCAAGTAATTGTTTTGTTTTGTTGTCCAGTTAAACCACTGGTTCCCAACGTTTAGTTGCTTATGTCCCACTTTGAATTAGAAATGTTGTAAGCCCACTAACGCGAACGCCTTTTTTTCGTAAAAGTCACACTTACGTCACCCGCCGGTGTTCCTCGTTATTCACAAACATTACTATGAGGTCTCACAGTGCGCGAGGACGCACAGGGTGACACACGAACCAATCACAGAGCTCTATTCAATGCTGTCCGTTCGATTTGCTGCTTCACTTAAGCAAGCATCCTTTGTGAATACGGGTGTGAGACTCTTTCAAGTTTTCTAAGCAGTTTTATTCTCATACGAGTACAATATCATCAGTTGCTAATAATAGCAGTCTACTAATGGACAAAGCTTAGGTCTCCGAAACAGTAGCCTTTATTGTGTCGTCTGTCTTGTCGAATCCAGCTTCTGCCAGCGACTTTTCGAAGTCGTTCCTTCACTCTATTAGAATAATACCAGCCCCACTCTTCCCGTGGATGTCGTAAGAGGTGACTAAGAGACAAATATGCGAACATGCTGATGTTCGCATATTTGTCCCCCCCCTTGACAAGTTGCACTTTTTGATCAAATCGATAATCGAATCCGTAAAAAAAGGCCTTTCGACCACTTTTCGACTGGTTTGCGATTATAAGGTGTACTTTAGACCCATAGGTCTCCCCAAGCCGTCTGGCCAGCGTGGAGAGTGTAGACCAAATCCTCTTGCCTTGTTATTAGAGAGGGTCGTGCTCCTGCAATGGAGACTAAATGACCTCATGATGATGATGTCAGACCAGTGGACGTGCTCCGCGGGTCAAGGTTTGGGAACCATTGACCTAAATTATATCTGCACCCAGAGCAAGTTAAACCATACCACTTAGTAATAAATTGTGTCGTACAACAACGTATTGTTTCTCGTAATTATAAGTTTTATGTGGATAATAACTGACGGCAACTAAGAGTTCGCAATACATTTCAATTAATTATAAATAACTAGCTTTCCGCCCGCGGCTTCGCCCGCGTGGAATTTTGTCTGTTACAGAAAAACTTTATCGCGCGCGTCCCTGTTTCAAAAACCGGGATAAAAACTATCCTATGTTCTTTCCCGGGACTCAAAATATCTCTATGCCAAATTTCATCAAAATCGGTTGCGAGGTTTAAGCGGGAAAGCGTAACAGACAGACAGACAGACAGACAGAGTTACTTTCGCATAATTTATAATATTAGTTGGGATAAATAAACCTTGGACATTTTACACTGCGCTTCTACTTAGTCCCAAACTAAGCAAAGCTTGTACTAGGGGTACTAGACAACGGATATAAACATACTTATAAGTATAGGTACAGTCAGGTCAGTAAATATTATAAATTCGTGAAACCCAAAGTGGCCAAAAAGTTGACAACATAACCTTAACAAAGACGTGTTGCGAACTTTCTGGCTACTTTGAGTGTCACGAACTACATATTATGTATAAAATTGACGTTGACTGTATTAGGACCACCACACCACAGCCACACAAATATTTGCCCCTAGCGGGACTAGAAACCGCAACCACATGTATGTAGTCTTGTAGGTGAACTACCAAGTCATCCCGCCTATACAGGGTGACTGGAAATTAGTGGCGGAGCCGTTAAGGGGAGGTAGGTATTGGGACGTGTAAAAGCGCTTACTTAAAGCCTATTTGCAAAAATAAATAAATTTTATGAATTTTTATGAAATCTAGGGTTATTCTGAGTCTGACAGACCGTAACCCGCTACGGCGTGCCGGGGGTCCTGTTGTACCAGGGCCGCGAGGAGAAACCCTCTATAAAAACAACTGGAGGGGATTAGGGGTTCCCTCGAAGCCAGAGCGTGAGGCGGAGCTGCGGACGAATGTCCAACTAGGACAATAACTTTGGACTCTGGTAGAAACCGTCGGGTTTAAGTGGGTAGGCCCTGCCTTAAGTGGGGGGGAGAGTCCCAAATAACCCACTGGCCGTCCCCATCGACCAGTGGGTATGCGCATAGCATTCTCCAACGTAAAAAAAAGTGTTATTTTGACAGAATCAGATATCACTATGAGACCTACCGTACCGTATCACTATGAGAAACCGAATTGAGAACCTCCTCCTTTTGTTGAAGTCGGTTAAAATTATGGCTGTTGTAGCGCCATCTGTTTTTTGTAATATACACTGCTTTGAAAATTACTAAGATTACATTACGAGTCAATAGATGGCGTAAAATTAGGAAACTAATAAAATAAAATTTTGATAGTCGTCTGGCAAAATGTTGATATTAGTTTCACTTATGAGTAAAACTATTTTTTTCACAAATTAATGAAAATATTTGAAAACTAGACTTAAGTGTAAAACAAAATCCATAATTATTTAAGACAGGTGTGGCAGTGCCATCTGTTATCGTATTCAGAAACTATTGCCGCTTGAATTAATTTGCATACAAGTATCACGTAGTTCTAATGAAAGTCAATAGATGGTGCTACTGAGTGCATCTTGCATTCGGATACATAGTCAAAACTTGTTATAATAATACGATTTTGTTAAACAAGTTAATGTAATTTAAATAAAATAGTTGAAAATTTTAACAAAAACACGCACTTTCAGAAACATTATTAAAATTATTGATGAAGTAAACATTATTTAAAGGATACGATATTTTTGCGTAATCAAATATAATTGCGTATCCGAATAAAAGTCGCATCAGCTGCTATTAGCACACGTTAAAAATTTCCCCATTTCATGGGAAAGTTATACTCTTACTACTATTGATTTTATCTGAGTATCCTAACTTTGTGACTCGTGGACTCATGGAATAGAGAGGGAGGCGCAAGCGCAGGGAATTATCTTTCATGGCTTTTCTTTGCATCACATTTATTTAGAAGTCGTGCAACCAAGGAACAAAAATTTAGGAAAACACAATGATACCAATAGTGCACCATCGTCATAAATGTTGTTTATAACAATTATGTACTTACATAACACTTTAACTACCTACTTTTTATACTGTTTGACGATATCAAAACCAAGGAAAATGTAGTAACTTACATAATTGATAAAAGTGTAAAAAACATGGTAAGTATTTTTGAAGACTGCTATTATTTTTTATATCCCAGAAGCTTGATGAATCATTATTGTCTACATTTACCTACATAAGTATCATCATTTTAGGTAGTAGGTAGGTGTTACTTACTGTAAGTAAAGCTGTAGAGGTATCGTTTTGTGAACTTTCAACTTTGTGAGAAGGGAAGCGTTATGTGACGGAGACAAGCTAATTTCAAAACGTATTGTGGCAACACCGTCAGTGCCATGCCCCTCGACTTCCAACCGATACGAAAAGTGTGTTTTGTAAACTTTTATGACAGTGGCATTGTTGTAAAATAGTTAACATCGCGTTTTAAAACAATATTGGACGCTTGAAATTCCCTTTTCACTGGATTATTGACTATTTACCGCGAATTACTTCATTAGCTGTTGTGAATGTGAAAAAAACAACATAAAAGTGCGTTTCCTGTGTTTCGAAGTAGTGCAACAAGTTAAAAAAAACACGATTTTGTTTTTGTTTTAATTACGTGCTAAAAGAAACTAATTTTTACGTGTTTGGAAAAAACATGTACCGTAAATTAGTTTCGTGAAGTGTCAATTAATATGATGTGTAAAATTTTTGTGTGCGTGAACTAATTTGTATCGGTTTTTGTGATAACAAAAATGCGTTTTAAATAATGATATCGCAAACAAAAAATAGAGTGCACGCTATTAAGAGTAAATTCGAAAATTTGAGCTCCGATAACGAGAATTTGGTTGTGAGAAAGAGCGAGAAACACCTGTGTAAACAGAACAGACATGTTTCTGAATTTTTTACGAAGGTAATTGATTTAAATGGCACAGAAAATAAGAATGAGTCAAATGTATTGGATGTTGAGTCACCAGAGCCTAACAGTAGCTACTTATACAGCAAAATTGACACAAAAAAGGTTGTAGGTGACGTCAAAAAATCTCTGACGAGGCAGTGCAGTGATCCGGGGAAAAAACTCCACCGAAGCCATGCGTTCCGGTGTGATCGGAGCCAAAAAATAGGCGACAGCCCCAAAAGGCACGGCAGTTGCAAAGGCAGGTCCGAAACCAGTGATTTTTCATTAAAAATGGGGGAGAAAAAGCTCAGTAAAGACCGTTTGAAACGGTTGGGCAATTTGCTTGAAGATCAGATGCGGAAGGAGAATTTTGTCGTGCCCAGTGAAGCGGTTGTGGTTGGTCAGGTCTTGCAGGTTGCTCCGTGTAATTCGATTCCAGACAAAAATGTCCCGAAACACATATTGGATCAGTACGCTACCGTTGTCAAACCCAAAAAGAAGGAAGAGAAACAAGACACAATGACCGACAGTGGAGTCAGTTCGGAGACTGAAAATCTAGACGATGATAAAACCAGTAAAATTAAAAAACTGACATCACAATTCGAAAAGACTGAAGCTGACACCAATTTAGAGGGCATGAACGATTTATGTGTCTCCAGTGAAACTATGCGCTTGGAACGTAAGAATCCACACATGATTTTAACGGACACACTTAAAAAGGCTTTGAAGCAACCGCTACCACCTGGTCCTCCTCCCAAAAAGCCTCCTAGAACCTTCGCAACCATTCCAGAAAACGAAAACCAAAAGAAAGACACCAAAAAAATGCTTGAAAAGCTTGAACAGGTGCTGCAAAAACGTGAAGCTCATAACACGTCTACCAAAAACATTTATGACATTGCAGAAACAAATTTGAGTTTGAAAAAGCCGAAAGAAGTACATTATTTATGCACAGAAATACTCGACATCACTCAGAGGACTTTATTACCGAACCAAAATGCATCTGAATCGTTAACAAACTGTATTAAGTCTTTGAACTGTGCTGTTTTAACTAATTCTACCGCTAGCTTGCCTTATACTAGATTAAGTTCAGGTCAAAACTTTGATCGATCAAAGCACTGCTGTTCGTGTAGTAACAACAGTCTTGACAACGAAGTGAAGTCCATGACTACGTTTGGCAGCCAAAATAAATGCTCGAAATGCATTCTGAACGAAGAAAAAGATGACAGATTCAAGTGTCACCTAAATTGTAAGTGTAAGATAGAGAATTCTGAGTTCTATGTTGATAAAGAGCCTATTTATGATGAGCCGTACTGCGAAGAAGTGCCAAAGGATAAGAAGAGCCATTACGGAACGATCAACAGTTTGAAGATGAACGGGAATTACAGTCGGAGTCTGGAGGATCTTCGGTTGGATACGGATGAGGTAAGTTATTATTTTCATTTTACATCTAGTATTATGTAAAATTCTTGTTTGTAAAATGTAACAAAACCCTCTGAAACATCTTGACCGATTCTTATAAAAGTGTGTTATTCAGTAGGTCTGAGAATAGAATGTTAACTATTTTTCATACCCCTAATGATAAAAACAATGTTTGCTAGGTCATCTAATAGTATACAGGGTGGAGTAATGAAAGGAAAACCATGAAATCTTAAATTATTTTCATTATTACTGAAAATTGTATGGTGGTGATACATTTTCTAAAAATTTTCATACATCTTTTATTCAAAAATAAAGGTTCATGTTTTTTTTTTTGAGTAAAATTTTCTATTTACAGTACAGATTTGATCAATGTTTCACAAATTATTGTCTTAAAAGAATATTTCTTGATTATTTGCATTATAAATTACCTGAGAAGACCACAGTCGTAACAAAAAGTAGGATTATTTATGTTTTATTATTATTTAAGTACATAAGTAAACATTTATTGCTATCGTACAAATTATAAGGTAATATACCAGGCAGGATAAAATGTGGTGAATTTCAGGAAAACCGCGAACGCTTACTCATTTTCAAGTTATTGTCATGATAGAATGATATTAAACGTTTAAAGTTAAACGTATGACTGAAGCCTAAATGTATTTAACCGATGTAAATATTATTACGAAAATTTGCCAAAAATCTATACTTCTATACTAATATTATAAATGCGAAAGTAACTCTGTCTGTCTTGCTTTCACGCCTAAACCACTGAACCGATTTTGATGAAATTTGGCATGGAGATAGTTTGAGTCCCGGGAAAGGACATAGGATAGTTTTTATCCCGGTTTTTGAAACGGGGACGCGCGCGATAATGTTTTTCTGTAACAGACAAAACTCACGCGGGCGAAGCCGCGGGCGGAGAGCTAGTACGTAACAAATCTAATTTATGTTGTTCTTTATTTATTTTGTTTATCATGTTACTTTATAACCAACTCATTTATTATCTTCCTTGATAGTTAAGAAGAATTGCTAAAAGCCATAAGATTGCCTCATTAATGCTAATAAATGATTAGATTTCATTAATTAACACACTTATTTACAATAAAATATGTCTCTAATGCAACTCAAACGTGTATTTAAGTGATTATGCTGCCCAATCAATGTCATATCAAATTAATAAGTCTTGGAATTGTAACATACCTACTTAAATGAAAACAAGCTATTAAAAGGCAAAATGTATTTTAAATAGGTAGGTACTATCTATCTATCTAGGTAAAGACAATCTTGTCATTAAAGTGAGACTGACAATAGTGACTTACGCCCATAGTCACCAACATTACTATGAGGTCTCACAGTGCGCGTGGACAAACAGGGTCACACACGAACCAATCACAGAGCTAATATTCAATGCTGTGCGTTTGAGTTGCTACTTCACATAAGCAAGCATCGTTTGTGAATGGTGTATGTTGCGCTGCTTCTTCTTAACACTTGCCTGCATTATTGTCGCACTTCTGTTGGCGTTGCGTTGACTTGTGTAAAACAGAAACTGCCGAACTAATTATGATGAATTTTGTTTTAGAGATAAGATTAGACCTTGAAGAAGGTTGTATTCTACTTTTTGTAAAGAAACATGTTTCTAATGAAAATATCTTGTAAGAGTCATTCCAAAGTATTTTATCGTGTACATAAACGTTTTTAAACTGGCTCTAATAGACCTTCACTTGATGAAGTAAACTCGTCCCAATTACATAACCGTTAAGGTTCGTATTTCCACTTCAATTAGCTGTACAGAAGTTAATAACTTCGCCCTAATTTAGAACAATGAATTGAAATTAGACACAGATACATTACAATGTAAAAGAATAGGCCAATGCGAACCAATAGTTAAAATACATTAAGATACTCGTACAGTGCTATGCTCGGTGTTTCTTTACGAGATCGAATCTGAAATGAGGAAATCCGTAAACGAACTAAAGTCGCTGACATAGCCCGACGGATTAGCAAGCTGAAGTGGCAATGGGCAGGGCACATAGTACGACGGCCGATGGGGCAGCAAGGTTCTGGAGTGGAGGCCGCGTACCGGACGCAGCGTGGGACGTCCACCCACAAGGTGGACCGACGACATCATAAAGGTAGCAGGAAGGCGCTGGACGCAGGCCGCTACCAACCGGGCAACATAAAAAGCATTGGGGAGGCCTATGTTCAGCAGTGGACGTCCTATGGCTGAGATGATGATGATGAACCGGTACTTTAATTGTTTGAGACCTGTGAAGCCAGTCAAAAGTTTTGGTTTATCTGACGGATAAGTGCCTGATAAACTATCAGGGACATTATTAGTAAGTGTTTAAATATTGGAGCGTTCTATTACCGTTAGTAAACAATAATAAACCGTTAATCAACATGTGGGAAGGTTATAATGAACTCCACTAAGGAATCATTAAAAAACTATAGTTACAGAAAGCATATGCAGCTAAACAAATCTTATGTGGTTATAATAAAGGTGGTTTTTCAATAATAATGTATGGTCTGTACATTAAAATAGATATTTCTAATAACTATGGGAGTTTATAGAATCTCATGGTAAAGAATGGTGTGTGACATAGATCAATTAGGATGTGTTACATACGTATAAGTAAATTAGTGTAATTAACTAATTACTGGTTTAAATATTGTATTTGTACGAATATAAATGTCCGAATAAAATTTGGTTAAATGGGTCGAAAAGGCCAAAAAATTTCTAACGAGGACTGTTAAAGAACTGTGTTTAGATTGATATTCTAATTAATTTAATTATTTTAATTTTAATTAGCAAGCTCGGTATAAATTGACAAATAAATAGATTTTGAAGGCTTTAAAAGAGCGCTATAAAACATATCTGTCTTCAGTCGTTTTCGATCGTAGTTTTCGATTCGAATTCACTCTCTGTGTGTACCATCTAAAACGGGGCTATTCCCACCTCGCGTTCCCACCGCTGCAACTCCTGTGTAGCCAGGATCTACAGCTTGACCGCCAATAACCCAACCAGTGAAGGCCAAGTTTGTCCCGGTGAAAGTTAAGCCCAGTCAGTCATCATCATCATCATCATTATCTCAGCCACAGGACGTCCACTGCTGAACATAGGCCTCCCCCAATGCTTTCCATGTTGCCCGGTTGGTAGCGGCCTGCGTCCAGCGCTTTCCTGCTACCATTATGATGTCGTCGCTCCACCAACCCAGTCAGTACCATCTAAGAATCGAACCCAGAAACTCTTCGAGGCCAACTATCTAACTACTAGGCCATGGAGGCGTTACGTAGATATCCAAGGTTTTACATCACAAATTGAGGAATCATTTGGCATCAATCAATCACTCGTCTCTTTCTCCCACGCGTCTAAAAAAAGAGACATCACAATCAACTGCAACTATTGTTCGCAACAAAATTGGTAGTCATTTGTACAGTCAGTTCAAGTTAAACTCTATATTTTATGCAGTGGCAATAGGGTCTGTTTTTCAACAATGATATTGTGACTTGTTCTCGACTGTATACTGTCATTATAGTGCCATTTGTGCGTCAAGTCACATCACTTTCCCTAACCTACTCTGAGTATGTAAAAGGCAATCATTTCGTACAATATCCGAACTGCCATTTCATCATCATCAGGTCATTTAGTCTCCACTGCAGGAGCACGACCCTCTCTAATTCAAATTCAAATTCAAATTCAAATTGTTTATTTGCCTACTAAGTGTACATTAAAGGTCTTATCACTAATACATGTGTGCTTATTACTTAGTTACCTAGTTAAGGCATTGCAAAGGTTTGATGGGAGGGCTACATTATTTATTTTTATAAATAAGTAAGTATGAGTAACATTAATATTAAATAAAATATTCTATTGAATATAATATATTATGTTATCTATGTTATATATATATATTTGCTAAAGACTCAGAGCGCCATAATGAGATATTTTAATAAAAAATTAAAAAGTTTAAAAAGTTAGTTTGTTGTATTATTTATATGTTGTTTTATAGGGTTTGTTAATTAAATATTCGTCTAGTTTGTAGTAGCAGTTATTTATTAAGAATTGTTTTGCCAGAGCAAATGGAGAATTTGGCCTACACCATAAGTATACATTCCCCACGCTGCTGGCTAGATGGGTCGATGTAGTCTGATCTTCGCATATTTCGATTATGGTATTTCGGTATGTTCGATTGAGGATTTTTTTTATTCTGTCAAAATGCTATGGTCCCATTGATTTTGTAGGGAAATTGGAACGTTATCAGGTCGCAACCCTTGAGAATTTACTCATATCAAAGTTACTGAAGTCGAATTTGAAAACTAACTACATTTTCAGAGCGGGAATCATCATTTCAGCCACAGGACGTCCACTGCTGAACATAGGTCTCCCCCAATGATTTCCACATCGCCCGGTTGGTAGTGAAAGTGATCACTCATAGCTATAAAATTTTTACAAAAATTGCAATTGTTGCATCTCAAAATAAACAGAATTGCCTAAGGCGGGAACCAAACGCACGATAGTCGTTTGGACGCAATAAGGCGACATGACTAAGGTGAATGACGGGGGCTACAAGACATTTCTCAGAGCTGCCCACTGGAGCTTGACCACGAAGGCCGAGTTCTGCTTGGCCGACCGCCCTATGGTGTCGAATGTCCCATCCTGCGTCGAGTCTCTTGAGAAACCTTTTTGTCTTTGTGTAACTGCAAGTAAAAAAAAGATACATATTATTATGGACACCACACAATAAAAAGGTACAAAAAATATAACATTAAGAAAAAATCAAAAGTGTATTGAGTAGTGCCACCTTGTCGTAACAGTGATGCCCATTGCAATGGGACCTCACTCAGTAAAATAAATTAAAATTCATTTATTTTTGCAAATAGGCTTTTAAAAAGCACTTTTACACGTCCCAATATTAACCCTACAACTGCTTCGGGACAATAAATGGGCCAGTGCTGAGAAGAAGCAGCGCAAGAAACTCCAGTCACTATTGTCAGCCTCCTTT